TAAAAACCTAGTCTCGCTTTCCCTCAGCTACCCAATGACTTAGTGGGAGGAAGGGCTTATGCTGTTGACTATTCACCTTTGTCCCTCCCTGACTCAGTATTGCTTTCCTTGTAGGAGACATTGAGTTACCTCCTTGAGCCTTTTAATATTTTATCCTTTTTCATATTTATTTCATGATTTTTTAATCTGTGTCATGTGCTGAGAGCTGCAGGAGAAGGCTCTTTATAAATAATATTATTAATTATCAACATTAATAATAAATCAGACTCTTCCAGCTTGTTTCCCTCATTGGAAATGGGCAACTATATTGTCCAGGCAACAGCTAGTTCCAATGTCTAGCTTTAATTTTATAACTTAATTCTAGTTTCCATGAATTCATAGAATCAAAGAATGTCACATGTTGAAGTGACCTTGCAACATACAATGTCCTATTTGGAATTTAAAAAAAAAACCTTTAGAAGGACACATTTGAAATATGTAACATTGCGGCTTCAAAGGATCTAAGAACATAGAATGTTGTGATGTAGAATATTAGAAGCAAAAAGAACATTAGAAACCATCTATAGTAAGAGTTCTTAACTTTTTTTCTATTTTGTTTTGAGTTGTTTTTGTTTCATGAATGATTTTGGCAGTCTAGGGACATCTATCAGAATCCTGTTTCTTTTTTTTAATGGATAAAATAAAATACATAGATATTTAAAGGGATGATAAAGTAAGTGAAAATTAGAGTGTATTTTTTCCCATCTAAGTTCACAGAACACCTGAAATGTATCCACATGATAGATAGTGATCCACACGTTACACATTAAGAACCCCAGATCTAGACCAGATCCCTTATTTTATAGAGGATCCTGAAAGTTTAACTGACTTAGGATCAAAGAATCTTAGTTTTAGAGTTAGAAGGAAACTCAGAGAACTAGAGAGGTGAAGAGACTCCACCAAGGTCATCAAGGTAAGAAGTAGCAGAGTAGAGGGTTTTTGTTGTTATTATTCATTTGTTTTGTTTATTTTAGTGAGCCAATTAGGGGTCATACAATTAGTAAGCATCAAATGTCTGAGATTGGCTTTGGAGGAACAAAGAGGTCATATTGTGTATACTGTAGGTGTACAAATGACAAAACCTGTTACTCCAATTCAGTGTGGGTGACCTAATAAATTTAAATGTATACTTCAGATTCAAGGTTCTTCTAAGGTAAGACCATGAGAGTCAGGAAGGATTAGAGGAAAGTTGGTCAGTCAGTCAACAAGCTATTAAGTGCTTACTATATTGATTCCTGTTAGATTGTGAGCTCTTCCTGGGCAAGGACTGTCTTTTGTTTTGTTTTTTTAATCTCTAGCACTTAGCACAGTGCCTAGCCTATAGTAAATGCTTAATCAATACTTATTGATTGATTGTGCTAGGCACTGTGATGAGTACTGAGGATACAAAGAAAGCCAAAAATATAGTTCCTGCCATCAAAGTACTCATGAAGAAAACAGGATGCAAACAACCACTTACATGCAAGATATAAAGTGTTAATAACAATAATAAAGATAGAAATGATTGTTAAGTATATGTACTGATATTAATTATAATTTTATAATTATATATGCATTTATGTTTATATCTATGTATGTTTACCTATCTACCTATTTATCTATCTGTCTGTCTCTCTTTCTATCTTCTATCCCCTCTGCTTTGCATTAGTTACTCTGTATGGTAATGTTGCTTTTATCCTCATTCACTGAATGCCTTTAGTTCTCAGTGAAACAGTAAGTAGAACTAAATTTTTCGCCTTATGCAAACTAAGCTTTGATTATTGATGACTGGAAATTACTGAAATTAAAAGTGACAAAAACATAAGATATAAAGGGAAAAAACGGTCTTCACTGGGTCAGTAATGGATGGTCATCACTGGGCTCTCAAAGGAGTAAGCAACTTCAAACTTTCATAACCTTGGTCTTAATTACCCAGTGGAACCTTAGAAACCCATGGCCCCCTGCAGAGTTTGCTGTTCAAACAAGAAACATTGCTTCTAATAAAAAATCAATAATACAATGCCTTTATGCAATTCTCACATTCACTGGTCTGGTGGAGGAGGGGGTATTCAATGAGAATACCGCAGAGAGACATAAGAGAAAAAGGACTATGGGTTTATTTTTAGTTTCAATTAAAATTTTTGTCAAACTATGAAGTTCAGTGAAAATGAACACACACACAAAGAACTTGATGCATAATAGTATTTTAATTTGGGAAAGGATTGGTCATCTGTGTGAAGCAATCTTTTTTTTATTATAAAATTATTTTTACAATCATTTTTATGCACTGGCTTTACATTGCTAACTGATGAAGAAAATATTCCTAAAACTTTTTTCCCCAAAATTTTTGCCCCCCCAGTAGGGTCTGCCTTGGCTTTAGAACTGGAAGGGAACTGGAGATTATATTGTCCAATTTTTTTCTTTAGAAGATGAAGAAATTGTGACTGATGCAGGTTAAATGAATGTCAGAACTGAAAAGACCTTAAAACACAGAATGTTATAGCTAGAACACCTTAGAACCTAGGACATAGAATTTTAGAGCTTTCAGGTAGCTTAGGGAATAGATAATTAAAACTGGTACAGACATTTTAGTAAAATAGAACATAGGCTAAAGATGGAAGGGGTCTCGGTGGGTATCTAGTCCAGTGATTGTCAGTCTTTGGAGCACAGACAACTGGAAGGCCTTGGATTAATTACAAAACATGAACAAATCTATAAGTATACCAACGATTCTCATTTTTACCTTTATTTAGCTTTCTAAAAATATACAGTGTGATTCAGTATAAGTAAGAATTACTTCTACAAGCTGAATAAAAATCTCATGAATAATATAGATAATTTTTTTAAATTAATATAGATTTGATTAATGATAATACAGCTTCATTCAAAAAGTATTATTGAGTTTTTAGTGGCTTTTTGTCATTTTCCCCATCAAATAGTACTTGTATAAACAAAATCACATGGGATCTTAAAATATTTGTTATATTAAAATGAAGTCTTCTTAGACATCACTTAGCACAGTGCCTGACACATAGCAGTTGGTTAAGAAATGTTTATTGATTTGTTGTACAGAGTACTGTTACAAATGCCTGATCCTTTTCAGTAGCTGGGACCCTAGACTTGTAGCTTTCAAACGAAGGCTCAGTCCCTTCTCTTGTATGTGTGCACAATACCAGAGGACTGTCTGGGGATAATTTCAAAGTTCCTTCTATAGCTCTCTTGGTCATAAAGTGATGGCAGTGACTCATCCCTCTGTTCTTTGTAGGTGATGTCATCATTTGTCTATGACTACGGTATGTATTAGTGTCTCTACCAATCTGATAAATGTCTCATCTTCCATCCTATTAATTCTTCTTCCTTTTGTGCCATTACTTGGCACTGTGTTCCTCAAAGTACTGACAAAGACATGACACACTTGTATACGTATCAATCTATCATCCAACCATCCATCTATCCATCCATCAATCTGTTTGCACGCATGTATATATGTGTGTGTACATATATGAATATGTATGTACTTATTCAGAGGTGTGTTGAAGTTCATATAGATTTTCCAGAGCCAATTGTTACATTTTCAGCATGAACATTTGCTTCTCAGAATTCAGTAAAGTTGCAAATCAGGGCTTGCTTGATTGTTTTGGTGATTGTTTAGAATTGAAGAAAATGATGGACATGACGTTAGTAATGCAGATTAAATGTAAAAATGGGTCATGATTATATATTTTTTTTGTTTTTGGAGAGCAGGTTGTTAAACATTTCGCAGCATATCCCTGTATATGTATACGGATGTACACATAGCCATATATGCTTTGTTTACAACAGTAGAAACAAATCAAGTTAGGCAATCATCAGTGTACTCAGAATGCCAATTCCCCAACCCACCATCTTCCTTCATTCCCTATATCATCTCTACATTAGGAAGATAAAAGCATAGAAGTTTAGGCCCCTCATCCTCTTGTCCAATGGGAAATTGACAAGGGCATTTGCCCAATGGTTTTTTATTCATGACCAAACCCCTAAGGTAAAGAAAAGGGAAAGATACTTATGACAGGAATGTTCATAGAACTCTTCACGGAAGGAGTTACATGACTTGAAGGAAGGTGTAATAGGGGGTTTAAGAACTGACCAATATACTAGAATCTCTAGGAACAAACTTTCCCTCTCTTCCCTGAGGTCCATCTGGGACTATGTTTCTCTAAGCCAAAAGGCAGATTTGAGTCATGCCCAGGAGTTCTTCTAGGGACATGTAGAGTTTGTCAGATGACAGATGGAGGGAAAAGACCGAGGAGTGTAAGAGCTGAGAAGCCTCAGAGACAGTTCCCTACTTCTCTGGACTTCAGAAGCCTAGGAGGAATTGTCTTGTTATGGAAGCCACAGAGCTGTCCACTTGGTACCCTGTTTCTATTGAATAGAAGCGGAGAGGAATTGTTCCTATACCTTTCCTATATTTTTTAAAGGAAGAGATGTTTTAAGATGTGATCTTTTCCCTACTCACTGCCTTCTCCTTCCTATTCCCTTTCTATCTGGAGATTTAATTAAGTACTATGTAAAATGGCAAACCACTCAAGTATCTTTGCCAAGAAAACTCCAATGGGGTCATGAAGAGTCAGACATGACTGAAAAGTGACTGAACAACAAACACTTTTTGAAAGACTTTTTTTTTTTGAGGGGGAAGGGAAGGGTAATATGGTGGTCCTAAGGTCCATTTAGGCCTTTTATTTCATGGTGTTTATATCAAAAAGAAAATTATTAATACAATCACATCAGCTCAAAATCCCTAATTAGGAAAATTCCCAAGTTTTGGACTTAAGCTTTGTTTTCTGCTCTAATTTAATTTTTTGTTTATCTCTAGCTAACCCCTGACTCCTTATATTCAAGAGAAAAATGAGTGCACGTGATACATTGAGATTAAAGAACTATTTTATTGTGTCTTTTACTAGACAGAAACATGAAGGGAAGTTGAGGAAAAAATAGGCTTTTCAGGGATAACTTTCTTCAGTACTGGAAAAGGTCCCCATAACCTAGAGCATCAGCTTTAGTCTGTTGTTCAGAACACCCAATGACTGCTTAATTTTCCACTTCTCTACAACAGCTCCATTTCCTCTTCACTTCTTTTTCCATTGATTGCTTCTCTACCTCCATTCCATTCCATCTTGGCAAGTTAAGTCCTTGGCAGGGCTCGAGATTTTCTCCACAGTTATTGATGCTGCTCAGCTCTTTTTGTCTTTTTCCTTCCTCTGAGTCTGTCCTGTCACAGACTATCTGTGTCTTTTTAAGAACTCCCAGGCATGACTCAAGTCTACTTTCCAGCTCAAAGATCACCATAGTCTCAAACCGCTCTCAAGGCCGCCCTTGTGAACTACAAACTCCTGTATGCCAGTCACTTCTCAAACCCCTATTACATCATCATTTTACGTTTACTGAGTTATTCTCCATTACCTAATAGGAAAAATAAATAGAAAACATTGATTTTATTTCACAGGATTGTAATATTTGGAGGCAGAAGGGCCCACAGAGACTATCTACTCCACCACCCTCATTTCCTAAAGAAGTGAGAACCTAAATGAAAGAACAAAAGCAGGAAATTCAAAGCATTTTTAAGTGACGGTGAATAGTTAGGTTGGTTTGAACATAGGGTCCTTGAAGGGAAAGAGGGGAGAAATTAACCCAGAAAGGTCACCCTGAGAAAGGCGCAGATATTAAAGGGCCTTGAATGCCAGGCTAAGGAGATCAGAAGAAGAAAGAGAGAGATAAAAATAGGAAGTATCATTTTTTATATCATGCTGACTTTTGCCATTTTCCATTAGCACAATTCTTTTCCAAACCACTCTTTATCAGTCTCTAGCCAGGAGTGTCATCAATGACTAATATCATAAGGTCTATTAAATGGATCTTCCATAAGTATGTCCGGTGCAAAGATAATGTGGACAGAATGATTGAGTTTAGCCTGTGAAATTTAGTCCATTTTAGTCTTTGACTATTATGACTCTTTAATTCAAATGGATAGACTTGACAGCCACCCTTTGGCTTTGACCATGACATTTTGCAAAGCTCAAAAAACAACACCATAACACCTAAAAGAATTAAGTCAGAAGACATCAAAGTTCAACATTCTCACCCCATCTTTTCTGTCTAGTTCAAGAGAATCAGGTCAGTGTGAAATATGAGTTAGGCAAACATTCTCATACAATCATATACATCATGGGAGAAACAAGAATTTCCTTTGACCTCTTATGCTCAATGAATACAATTAATCTTTAATTCCCCTAAACTTTTGATCCATGTAAAAATGTGAAAAATATGTCATTCCATTTGAAGAAGAAAATAAAAACTGGGGATGTAGCTCTATTATAATTATTCAAGGTTGTTTTGGGTGTGAATGCAAAATGTAGTTGATGAGTTATTTTCTCTTTTTTTTTCAGAAAATTGGAGTCTACCACCCCTAGGATGCTTCTCATTTACCCAACAAATTTCAGCTTGCTCAGTGCCCCAGGAGTGTAAGACTGCTGTCTTCTTCCCAAAGATATTCTCTCTTGAAAAGAGAAAAAAGGGAATCTCAAAGCTCAGAACATCAGAATCAGAGTGATACAACATAAAAGAGCATTGGATTTGGAGTCAGAGGTCTTGGATTCAAATCCTGGTTCTATTATATACTACTTGTAAGATCTTAGGAAAATCTCTTTGAGTCTGTAAAATGAAGAGGTTGCACTAAATGGCCCTTAAATTTCTTTCTTGCTCTAAGTATCATGAAATTATGAATCATTTGTTCAGGCAAAGTCTCTATTGGCCTCATGAGGATTAGGATTACCAACAGTAAAACTTCAAAAACAAACAAATAAAAAACATGTAATAATGGCATCCATGAATAAATAATATCAAAATGTAATAACCGTCTTCTGGCTATGTCCACTGGTATCAGCCAGTCAGAAGCCATAAATCAGTGTCCAATACATATTGATGGTTACTGAACCAATCATTCTGGCCAGCTCTGGCAAGGGCCTCTACAAAATGGAAGAGCATATATCTCTCTTGGAATGAACTCTAATAAATAGATTTGAGGGAGACAAAACACAATAAGGTATGAGTCGGCAAAATTTTAACACAAAAAGTGGGGATTTCCTGTCATCTCATTGCCCAGTGAGCACCCCAACTGCAAATAAGCACTTAGGTACCAGAGTGAGTAGGGTGTGGGTGTTCGAGTCAGGAAGACCTGAGTTCAAATCCTGCCTCAGATACTATTTGTGTGACCCTAGGCAAGTCACATAGCCTCTCTTGGTCTCAGTTTTGTCTTCTATGAGAAGGGTTAAAATAGCTATTATCTCAAATACCTTATAGGGTTGCTGAGGTGATCAAATATTTAATGGGCTTTGCAAACCTTAAAATTCTATATGAATGCTAGCTACTATAGAAATAAAAGTTAATAATAATAGCATTTATATAAGCACCTGCTATGTCCCAGGAACTGTGCTAAGGACTCTACAAATATTCTCATTTGATCCTCAAAACAACCCTGGGAGGTAAGTCTTATTATTAACCCCATTTTATCTAAATTGAGTCAAAAAGAGATTAAGTGACTTGTCCAAAGTCACACAGATAGTAAATGCCTGAAGGTAGATTTGAACTTGGATAGGCCCTGCACTCTATCCATTGGGTCACTTAGTTGGAAAGGTTCACCCCTGTCAACACCCTTGTCTACAATACACTCTTGTTTCACATCAGCTTTATGGGATCTCTAATTTTCTTCATATAATTCAGTTATCACCTTCTTCAGGAAGCCTCATATACACACACACACACACACACACGTATAATATACACACATATATGTATATATGTATGTATATACACATGTATGTGTATATGGATATATGGATATACATATATGCATATATGTATATGTATATATGTATATGTATATGCATATGTGTATATATGTATATGTATATATATATTTTTACAGGATTCACATTTACTTACCTATTTATATATTGTCTTTCTCTCTTTGTCTCTGCTGTCTCTTTCTCTGTGTGTGTGTGTGTGTGTGTGTGTATGTCTCACTTTCATCGTATTTATAATATAGGACTTGAAATAGGGTCTTATGCATAGTAGGCATTTAATAAATATTTTTAATTAAAATTTTCTATGAGTTCACCCATAAGATGGAGTGTTGAAAGTACTAGACAACATTTTGGGGCCCTAAAAAACCCTTTTATTATCTCTTCTACTGCCACACATTCCATAATTCAAGATTTATTTCCTTGGGGTAAATATTATTCAAGTGTCCTCTTTTAAAACATAAATACACCCAAGGGGGGCAAGAAACGATTTCTTCTGAAAGCAGACATTAAGTGTTTGAAAAACTCAGCCTTTGCCATTCCTCCTGGCCGTTTTCTGTTCTGTGACCTGTGGCCAACCGATGTCTCTAACTCTGTCCTTCCTCTCAATATACAAATACTTTATTGAGGGCAATAATGAATTTGCCAGAATGATTCACTGAGTGACATTTCCAAAAGTTGCAAGAAATGTGACATGACATTTCCCAGTGCCCCCATTTCACAAACTTCCATAAAATGCAGTGATAGTCTCTCATTAAGTCTGACTAATTATAGAGGGACAACTTGTAGTTTCTGGAAGTTGTGGAAATGCAAGAAACTATAGAGAGCTTTCTGTCCTCACAGGAAAGTTTTAGCAAAGTAGCCAATAAGATAGCATTATTCACCTTTCTGATTGAGGTGGCTAGTTTTTCGAACATCTCATTATTCTCCCATTATGGGAATTATCACCCAGACTACCTGGACAGAAAGATGAAATAGACAGTTTTGGGAAACAAATCACAAACCTGGCATGGGAAAGCGATTTTTTTTTCAAATGATAGGGAACTTAAACTATTCAGACATCTACTGAAGCACTCCCTGTCTCTTTGTCTCTCTGTCTCTGTCTCTCTGTCTCTCTGTCTCTCTGTCTCTCTCGCTCTCTGTCTTTCTCTCCTAAAAGTAGAACAGCTGAAGAACATTTTACTTGTTAAAATGATGGCTTCATCCTTTAAAAGATGAGATAGGATAGCTATTATTCTGGACCTGATTGTGATCATCAGGGAGAAACAGTCTATTGAAAAAAAAATATGGGAACCATGGGGGGAAATGATCATAACATCTTAGCACAGGTGTTAAGAAGGAGAAAAATAATCCAGGTACAGTCCTCCACAAACTGAAATTTGGCAAAAGCAAATTTTGAAAGTTTAAGAGAAAGAATATGTATCATCCAGAGACATAATAAGATACAGAGAAATCTGGTTTATCAGAGACGGAGAGCCCTTAATAGTGAATCTGAAAGCAAAAATTGAAATGGTTTTTTAAAAAAAGAAACAAAAATGGGATTCTTCCTTATAAGACTGGGGTAGATCACAGATTTTGAGCTGGAAAGACCCTCAGAGGCCTTGAATGCAGCCCCCTCATTTTGTAGAGGAAGAAACCGAAGTCCAGAAAATTAAAATGACTCTCTTAGAATCACAAATGTCTGTGGGAGGATGTGTGTGTTAGTTTGTTTTGGGCGGAACTATTATTTTTGCTAAGGAATTGAGACCCAGAGAGTTAAAGCGATCCACCCAGCACCATAGAAATAGGAAGCAGAACTGAGATTTAAAAACATGTTTCCTGGCTCCAGATCCTATGTACTGTATGTACTGTATCCTATGTACCTACATCTGGTCTCAATCCTAGCCTTACTACTTATTGCCTGTGTTATCTGAGGAATATAACTTTTCCCTCTTTGAGCCTCAGTTTCCTTCATCTGTAAAATGAAATGGCAGGAAGGGACAACCCCTAACAACCCTTCTATTTCAAAATCCTATGAATTAGGTGGGGGGATGTATTGTGGGGGTGGGGTGGCAGAAGTATGGTTGTTTCCCAGCAACTTGGGGAGGATTTAAATAGTTCTTCGTCATTCCAAGTCTAGCATGTCAACCTTTACTCCATGCTGCTCTAAAAACTAGATGCCCAGAATACTCATTGATCAATTAAAATTTGTGTATATTTTTGTATTTATTCATTGACATTAATGCAATTTCCCTCAAATACAAAGTAAGCTTCTTGAGGGCAGTGTTTAATTTCTGGTTTCTAGGACTTAGTAAAACACACAACACATAGTAGAATAGTAATAAATGAATATCTTTCCTTTTATTTATTTTTTGAATAATATTTTCTCCATCTCTCCTTAAGAAAAAGAAAAAAAACATACTTAGAGGCCCTGTGCTCTAAAAAATTGGGTGAAAGTCAGTCTTCTCTATGCTGCCTCAATTTTTTGTTCTTTTGCCTTGTCATAAAGCTTTGCAATCGTTTCTTTATACTGAACTCATAGCCTTATGACACAATAATTTTTTGGCTGAATAAGACCTTAGAATTAGAATTTTAAAACACAGAACATAGAATTTCAGAACTAGA